GCCCCGTTCGCGGCGGGGCGGCCGCCGTCGGGCACACCGCCCTTTGAACCGGACTGCCAGGTGACAATGACCGCACCATATTTTACACCCCCGACGTGTCACGGTAACCACTGCCATGTCGCAGGGTATAGGTGACGCGGAATTCACACGGAAATATGCCGAGGAGAAATTCAAAAGAGCGGCACTAAATTTGAGAAAATTACAGAGACGGTCTCCAAGCGCACAGGGAAAGGGTGTGAGTGAGGGTCCTGGATTTATCGCAACCAATCTGGGGGCAGCGTTTACCGTCGCGAGCAAGTTAGCCCATTGGCCTATTCGAGAGTTGTTACTTAAGAGGGCCGTGAGAATGGTGCTCATTTCCTACAAACTGTGGCCATTCATTGTCATTATCTCATGCCCATTGTTTATAGCACAATACCTAAAAAGAGTTATTCCTTCGCTGTTTCCCCACCACGTTCATTACATTGAAACTTACTTCATACCGTCAGCCTCCATAACCAAGCGTTTGGTAACTTCACATCGAATGAATGAATGACAAGGTGAATGGCTCATCCCGAGGCAGAGGACGTGTGATGGGTGGAAGATACGGAATGCTGGGAATGGCACACGCGACAATTACTTCCTCCAAATCGATCACAGTTTGCACATTAGCCATTGAAGGCTGCTCGTGCTAGCAGCCCTTTATGTCCAGCTTTTCTCAGCACTTCTCAGCACCCTGCATCCTCCATCCCGAGCGTGTGATGTCCCCAAGGTGCAGCGTTTATGCTAGATTTATGTTGTTTATGGGCGTTTTATGGGCGTTTCATGGGCGACTTGACCAGACAACTGACACTCGAACGTAGCTCGAACGGGTCAGTGTCGTCTTCAGGCCCGTCGCCAGCTCGCAACCTCCGCCCTCCCCACCATGCACACCTCCACCATCCACCTGCACAAGTTTGTTTCTGGTCAGAAAGACCGAAAATTCGTATTTTTTCTCTCTTCTTTTTGGGGTCAGCCATAGCATATAAGTGCTCCAAGGACACTGTTCAAAATGCTCATTAAAGGTCATGAGCTGCTTTGTTTGAATTATTGATAATGGTTCAAACTTCCTTTTATTTCCATTATTCGACCATCAATGACTGAAACTTGATTTCCACAGTGCTTTGGCCGTTTGGCAGACATTAGCGTTCCTATTGTTTAATTCCGCTTCTGGCCACCGAATGACTGCGGTAATGCATTCAGAATCCAACCACCGTCGTGCTCTTTTGTCTGGTACCAGCAAATTACACGAAATGTCAGTGCACGTCCGACTGCCAATTTCTTTGAGAGCGAATCTCAGGCCGGTCGAATCACGGCCGGGGAGTACGGCACCGAAGGTCAACGGAAGTCCAGCAGGGCGGCGGGCGGCACCACAAGGTCCGCGCGCAGCGCCGGCCGCCACGGTGTCTTTTTACCCGAGCTAATGGGCATACCGGAAGTTCATTTGTCGGGTGCGCGCGCCGCCTCAGGAGACGGGCAGGCCGGCGGGAGCGCGCCGGATGCGGTCGCATCCCAGATGGCGGCGGCCGGTTTTTAGCCATGTAAATCTATACCGCCGCCCTGCCGCCCAGCCGATTTATGAACGACGCCCGCGGCCCCGTTATGACGTCGGCCGAAGACAAAGAGGCTGGGAGGGTGCACCAGCTGCAAGTGTTACTGTATGAGAGCTTCCGTGCCCTAATATCATACATGTCGACGTCTGTTCATGACAGGCTCATTTGCGCCTTGGCCTCCATTTGATTTTATCTGAAGTTGCTTCTGGAAGTCACTTAAAACGTGGCTTCTTAGAATGCCACGTAAATTTAAGGCTGTCACGGAAGATCCAAACCCTTATTTAATAGCTAACTTTTTGATATTGAGCTTTGTTAACCTTGGTTTCTACCTTGCACTCCTACGTGCTTTTCAGTGGCCCTTTCATGTATATCAAATATACTTTGGAAAGCGTTTTCCCACACTTTCGGTCAATACGAAGTCTGAAGCATCAAAAGTGGGAAGAAGAAGTTTTGACTCTGCTTCAAAATAAAACACCGGCCTAGGGCGTGAATGGATTCTGACACCTGGGGTACAATGTATGGTCGAGAGGTCTCGAGCGGTGCTCGGGGCGAGGGGGGAAGGGAGGCTGGAGTTCGTGATTGCCAACCGTGAAAACATAACCGGCGCTCCCCCCAGCCGCGTCACAAGAGGCCGCCGAAAGGCTTGCCCCTAATCCCACAAACAAATAACGGTAGAATGCGGCTGCTAGTCCTGTCAGAGCTCCTGCATATGGCCCTCTCCGCCCCGCTCAGCCCGGCTAAATCCCTGGCCGGAGCGCGGCCGCCGGACCGGCCGGGTGCCTCCTGTCCGCACCGGCCGGATCGGCCGAGTACCTCCTGTCCGCGCCGGCCGGATCGGCCGAGTACCTCCTGTCCGCTCCGGCCGGACCGGCCGGGTACCTACTGTCCGCGCCGGCCGGATCGGCCGGGTGCCTCCTGTCCGCACCGGCCGGATCGGCCGGGTGTCTCCTGTCCGCGCCGGCCGGATCGGCCGTGTACCTACCGTCCGCGCCGGCCGGATCGGCCGGGTGCCTCCTGTCCGCGCCGGCCGGATCGGCCGAGTACCTCCTGTCCGCGCCGGCCGGATCGGCCGAGTACCTCCTGTCCGCGCCGGCCGGATCGGCCGAGTACCTCCTGTCCGCGCCGGCCGGATCGGCCGGGTGCCTCCTGTCCGCGCCGGCCGGATCGGCCGAGTACCTCCTGTCCGCGCCGGCCGCAAGTCCTGCCGTCCCGCCACAGCGCCAGAGATCGGCGCACATGGCGAGGCGCTGCCGACCTCGCCTGCGTGCCGGGCGTGCCGTGTACCTGCGCCAGCGGTCGTCGCCGGGCGCTGGCCGGCCTTGGTTCGGACACACCAGTGTGGCCGGCGGTCCCCAACTCGCGAACATGATCGGACACGCCGCGCCCGACCGCGCCGTGTCCTGGTCCGGACGGGGACAGTCTTGGCAGTCCTGTCCTGTTTCGGACGACGGCTGGACCCGAGCACCCCTTCACCAGGAGGCGAGGGCTGCCTTCGTCGGGCGGTGGCGGCGACAGACGTGGCGCTACATCGGCTCCGACATGACCGGAGCGTCGCAGGTGAGGAGGTGAGTAGCACCACGAGTAAACCAGTGGCCAGCGCCAGGCACAAAGCTCACCCGAAAGGGAGGCGGCTCGCCCTTCGAATATCGCAATGTGGCCAGGAGAGCACTCGATAGGCGGATGTGATTCTCGGTTGGATATTGGCAGTGGGGAGAGGAGTATGGAGGGGTGGGATGGCAACCTGTTCGAATTTCCGAGTGGATGTTTTCGTCTATCGACTTACGGCCTCGTGAGGAAGCATCGTCTGTTTTCGATGCCTCAGCGTGCCTAAACAAGTTTCCGATGTCACTCACCAGGCAGTGGTACATTTGTTGGTGCATACCTCGATCCTTTATGTCTCAGCGTCCTCTGTGATACACTTTGTTCGTTTTCAGCTGATAAATTAGTTACAAAAGCATGCAGAAAAGCTCGTCACAACGCTCAACGCACTTCAAAAGGATCCGAGCCAAGGAAGGATATCCCTCCGGCGTGTTGTGCAATCACGCCCAAATTTTCCACGGCCGGTGGGCAATCCATTACACGTGTTTTGGAATCAAAAGCCCTGTTCATATCTCCTTAACTCTCGGAGCAGCAGCGGTTTTGAGGAACACTGCACGGCCATCTACGGCCTGAGCGGGCGGGCGAGCGGCCAACGACGACGGCGCGGAACGCCTGCGGCGGGCCGACGCCGTTACCGGAGCCATGTATCATAACTATATGCTCACGAAATATACGCCACTTGAACAAAGAACACGTCTGCTTAAGTTCCGCGTTGCCAATAGGCATGGTCTTGTTATACGATGGTAAAGCTAAAAAGTGTGCTTTTGGGTAAAATCAGACCTTTGATCTGCCATAAGGGTTGATGTAACGACTGTTGATGTAACAACATACAAACTGGTACCAATCGCGAAATCTCGTTGAGCCCGATCGACCGCTGTTTTCTGCTACCCCCTATCTTTATTAATTTGAAAACACCAAAGGGGTTTCGCATCGACCGCTCCCAATCAGTCCACGCTATGGAAAAGGGCAAACCAGTGCGAGGGTTATTCTATGTCTTTTTCTGTGATCGCTGTCTTGCAATAGTTCGTGTGTCACTGGGTTTTTTTTACAACGCACTCAGCTGCTGAGGCTATATGGCGTCGCCTGCCTCTCACCCTGGCAGGAAGGGCGGGCACCGCGGGGAATCGAACCCCGTACCTCTTGCAATACTTCCTCGCTGTAAGTTTTTGTTACATCCACACACTGCATACAAATTTCCGTTTATTGTAAACAAACTCATGAGGTACAGATATTAAGCGTAAGTTGCATCCATCCAACAAGGTCGCTTGACATCAGCTCAGCTAAACATCACGCACTAACAAAACATGACAGGGGTAAGCAGTGCACTGACCGCGCCACACGAAACAATCACAATACTCCTAAACAAATATACCAATTATTAAAACGAGCCCTATGTTAAATCCTACACCAGAGCATACGGTGTGATACTAAAAACCATTAACAAATAAAACGCAATCGGCCTGCAGATTCTAAAAGGGATTCGATGTCCGACTCTGAACTGGAATAGTAAAATCGCGCAGTAATACACAACGGAACGACGCAGAACGCGCAGGCAGCACAAATTGGCAGTTCACTTGGCATTGGTCCTCCCTGGCTATCCAGCCCCATTCCGGGGGGCGGGCCGAGCCGGCCACCTGGTGACATTGACCAGACAAGGTCACATCGGGGTGACCTTGGCCTGGCAAGGTCACACCGGGCCGAGGGCCCGCCACACCCACTTTACCTGAGATAAAACGCGCCGACAGTCCCGAGCCGGAACACCAAACGGCGTTACCCTCGTACGGCACCTCAGCAAAGCCCCCCGAGCCCCGCCCCACCCACCACCCCCATAGTACGCCGTTTTGAGGAGAGGAGGCCAGCAGAGACACACTCACGGGCCAGCGGGCGCAGACCAACTCGTCAGCTGGCGGCGCCGTGCGGGGCGCGCTCCGGCGGCGCGCGCATGATTGTCCGAGGCCCGCTCTGTTTATTTACTCGCAGAAACAGAAACACGGCCGATGACCCCCGGCAGCGGCGGCGGCGGCGGCGGCCGGTCCTGGCGGCCCTGCCGATGCCCGCACGCACGGGCCGCGCAGCGCCGCGCCGCGCGCGCCCGGCCGACTTTGTACTCGAAGGCTTCTACAAGCGGCGCGCTCTCCTCTACACGCCTATCACGTCACGTTCGACGCTCCGTTTGCTCTGACGTAGTGTATCACATATGTACAGCGACTAACAGCGTGTGACTACGCGACGCATGCGCCGCGGGAGGGACGCCGAAACCCCACCAAGGTACGAGAACGAGTCCGCGGCGCTCACCAGCCGGCCGGTACGGTCAGACGCGACTCCCACGCACCGACAAAAATCCAGACAGAAAACAGGAAAATGAAACACTGTCGACGAGGGTGGAAAAATACGGAGTTTGTCGTGCAACGTGACACTGGCATTTCGCGGAACAGGCACATGCTTTTGAATTTTCGACAGATGCTTTAGATTAGAGGGCGATGCCGTACAGGCGCGCTGGTGAGCTCCGCTGGCAGCCTGGGACCGCGCGGCCGCCACATGCGCCCGTGTGACGTCATAGCCAATGACGTGTCGCGGGCACCGGGCGGCCGGCGGGCCGGTGGACGAGCCGCTCTAGAAGTGCACCTCTCGCACGTCGGTGGGCGTCTCGGCGGTCTGGTAGTCCCCCGCCGGCTCGGCCGAGGGGTGGCCACCGGCCGGCGCGGCGCGACCCGTCTGCTCGGCCGTGAACTCCCGGATCATCTCCTCGATCTGGTCCAGACAGCTCCGCAGCAGGTCCTGCAACAGGGCACGCGGCCGTCAGGACAGGCCGGGTTGGGTCACCAGCAGTGGCCGACTGTGCTGAAAGTCGAGGCATACCGGCCGGGCAGCGGCCCTCAACAGACCAAACGGATGCCCCCGGTGCCCGGTGTCGCCCCATCTGTTAATGCAAAGGCTGTTCACTTTGCCACGTTTCTTCGGGGTCTTTTGGTCTGTTCAGTATATCGCAGTTTATTGCTCCTTCAAACAACTACATGCCTTTCATCTCACCGGCCGATGAGGAACTATGACGTCATTCAACAGATGGCCGCAATATTTATCCGCTCCGTTCGAGGAAGGGGCATGTCGGTATGATCGCAGCGCGCCGGTTTGGAGCCGGTTTGAGGATCACAATCGTCGAAAGTATCTGATCCTGCCAGTGAACCTAACCAGTCGAGTCCTTGGCGGCGACTCTGGCGCCCGCACCACTGCCCCGGCGAGGCAGCGGGACAGGGGGGGGGGGGGGGCACATGACCGCCGCGCCCCATACGACCGTCAAACGCCCGTCCAGGAGCGCCCTGACGAGACAGTCGTCTGGCCGTCTGCCGGGCACCCCTCCCCCACCCAGCCCAAACGCGCTGCTGGGGGCCAGGCGGCGACCGTACAGCTGATTCCGGACGTGAATGGTGCGGCGGACGTGCCACCCGGGGGCGGCTCCACACCCCAGCTGAGCCATCGAGCACGATGCCGTGTCGGGCGCGGAGCGGGAGCCTGCTGACCGCTCCTCAGCAGGAGTCCGGTGGCCAGGCGTGGGAAGGACCGACTGCTGAGCACAGCGAGAGCTCGAGGGCGGCATGCTCGTCAGGCCCAGAGACAGCTACCGGAGACAACGTTTCCGTTCGAAGGGGCCAGTTCCATCGAAACGTGGGATTCGTACATGCCTTCAACCTGACGACACCCGTGACCGGCCGACCCGAGGACATGCCCCAGAAATGAGGGCAGACAACGGTGACCAGAGCAGGACCCAGGATGTTCAGGGCTCCAACATTTAAAGCCCGTGGAAGTGTCCTGAGGGGGGGGGGGAGGGGCGGACGGGTGGTGGGACCAGTTTGCTGGACCGGGTGAACGGCTCTGCCGAAGGCCAACGCCGCCATCCTCTAAAAAAACGGCACCGCCAGACTCTTCCTCTTCATTTGTTTTCGGCGGCCGGAATTTTCACGCGCGTTACCGACCATGAAAGGGCTCCATTGACTTGAATTAGGCGTCCATTGAACTCGGACAGGGTTTGGTGGGAGCCGCTCGCTTCTCCCCGGCCCCGTTGAACCCCGGCAAGGCCATGGCGATCGGAGCAAGAGAGGCAAGCATGTTTCAAAGGTTGAGGTGCTCAACCATCAGGAATCCCGACCAATAAAAAACATGGCACCTAGGGCCATGTGACCGGTATGGATGAGCCTACCGTAATACCATCGGTTGCAATCATTAGATGGGATCAAGATTGCGTGCTATGCTGTAGGGTTGGGACGCATTTTTGCTACACCGAATGATACGAGAGTGCTGACCTTGCTTTTTTATCCGAATGGGTGATTTGCCGCCTTCCTCACGGAAAGGCCACAGTCGAGACCACATACCACTAGACCGTGCACATCTCCACAGAGGCCAGCGCATTCTCTTAACCTCAGTCAACTTTCAGACTGGTGTTCGGAGGTGCTTGCGTGCTGCCCGTACATCCGCCTACGTCCGGGATTTCAGTGCAGGCACAGATAATAAATATAAAATAAAGCAGATATACCATGTGCGACTGCCAGCGAGCTCCTCAGACGTGGCCGGCGACCGGCGACTGAAGCATAAGAGCCACCTATCTTTCCCCACGACTGACTGTGTTCACGACAGGGAAGAGGCCCTCGTCTGCAGTTGCCAACTGAAAAGGCGGCTCATTGGCAGGCACCCAGATTTTGACACTGAAATCGGACGAGATATGAACAGCAGCCTGACGGAAGGATCATTTAAAGTTACCCTTTCTTCTTCTTGAACACAACGTACCCTTCAAGCGTTCCTGAGGTCGAAAAAGTGCAACCACTACTTTCGCAAAGGAACACCACCCGAACATAATACCACAACTAAAATTGATGAGCGGCAGGAAATACTAGCATGATACGTTTGGAACACATTCTCTGCCTGTCAAGGTGTCTGGCTGCCTATGACTGTCTACAGCCTACAAGACGACGGCAGAAACACAATCGGACCATTCCGCCATCGAGAACGAGCTTCTTCACAACAGTGGGATTGCGATGCCCTTGAAGTGGCATAGCATATACTGCTAACGCGGAAACCCGTCACCGTGGAATCATGACCAGGTACATACCATGCACTATCCATTTTTTCGCTGATGAATTTTATCTACCAGGAATTCCGGGGAAAAGTGCATTCCAGACGGCTCCAATCCAGGAAAGCCAAGTACAGCGCTGTGCAATGCTAGAGTGGGCGACGCAAACAACCATCCCTCTGGCGACACGTGGCCCGTGTCACCCGGAGGACAGCTACCCAAAATGCGTCGACGCCCGGCAGCCGGTCACGCTAAACGCGGCCGTTGCAGCCTACGGCAGACTAGTTCGAGGCAAGACTCCGGAGCGTCCCCCGGCGCCGTGACGGGAAGCGCTGGCTGACTGTTGAGGTCAGGCCAGGTCACAGGCCCGACTTCGGGCCGACGCCCCGCTCAGCGCGCCGGCCGGCTGCTGGCGCGTCCAGCGAGACATGCCGGTCGGAAGACCGGTACGTCTCGATGGACGCTCGCTCGGTGGACGCTCGGTGGACGCTCGGCGGACGCTCGCTCGGCGGACGCTCGCTCAGTGGACGCTCGCTCGGCGGACGCTCGGCGGACGCTCGCTCGGCGGACGCTCGCTCGGTGGACGCTCGCTCGGCGGACGCTCGCTCGGTGGACGCTCGCTCGGCGGACGCTCGGCGGACGCTCGTCGTACGCTCCTCAGTACTCCCGATGGGGCGCGCCGCCCCCAGACTCGGGATGCGCACCAGGCAATCGACATGTCCAGCCTCACCCACTGATTGCCTTGTTATCGGCGAGCAGACTGCGGTAGGACGTTCCGAATGAGAGGCGATCGTCGGAAGGCTCAAGTGACTGATAGTAAGGTCGACAAAAACCTCTGTTTAGAGCTATCCGATTCCAGCAACCAAGGCCACTCGCACGACGTTATTATTAGTACACGCCTTCTCCCTCACGTTAAACGTTTGAATAAATGTTGGTCAGCGTTTTTAGGTAATCGTAGACGTGTGAGACGGCGTGGTTGGTTACCCAGCGGGCCCGTTTTTGCAACCACGTAGTCAAAAACAGACTCTGGCCTTGCTCGAAGCCCTGCTGAGTCCGCTCTTGTTCCAACGCCGCACATCCGGCCCGGGGGAGCCAGTTGGTGCCTTTGAGCACCCGGAAAGCACTTGTGATTACACTCGCGCATTTATTCGCTTTCGAGAGTTTCCCAAGGCTATTGGGCTTCAAGATCGTTCGTGACCTCACAGACTTTATGTCTTTGATGGATGCTTTTGGAATGAGCGAAACGGTATTCAAAGCGGCCGCTGTGATCAATTCGCTCGAGCAGTAGTTCCGCAAATGAAAAGCTCACGTCTAAAGGTATCACAATCGCCGTAAAGCACATTTCGAGGGGAGAGACTCACCCTGGCTCAAGACTGTGCGGCACAGCTCCCCCCCCCCATCCCTTCCCGCTGTCTCGGGACAGGTGACATCACTGACCGTTTCGACGGCGGTGATGCGGTGCAGCTGACTGAAGATGTCGCTCATGGCGGCCTCCCGCCGAGCCGGCAGCAGGCCCTGCACGGCCGCCGCCAGGCTGGCCGCCGCCACCATGCTCGGCGTGTGGATGCTGAACTTGAACTCTGCCGAGACAGCGACGGGCAACGGTCAGTCCACCGACTTCTCCCATCAGGGGGCTGCTTCAAGCCCACTGGGGAAGGGTTCTGGGTCGTCTGCTTTGAAGACAAACTGACGATTGGTCTCTGTGACGTGGATGCTGTTTCGATTGGCTTTCCGAGGCTGGGAAGATCTAATCCATGCCAGAATTACGTAAGTTGTTCTCCTGGTTTTTCTCCGATGAATACGGCTAACACTGCTGTCTCATGCATGCCAGAATCGGGAAAGGTGGGAAAAAGTCGACCAGTGACATGTTGCACAGCCACTTAAGGACCCTGATTGAAAAATTATTAAGTTTTTCAATCAATAAGCGTACACGCTGATTGTGTATGCATTAACGGTTACAACTGCACACATATTTCTCATGTTGTATACCTGTTTCACTGGCTTCAGTCATCACTAAATGGATGCATCCGCTCTCCAGTGTCACCAAAACCCCTCAGAATGGAGCCGCCAGCAAACCAGACAAGCCACACCACATTGTCAGTCGACGCCTTGAGATCGTAGCCCGAGACGAGCGGCCATTTTCTCTGCGTGTGGCGCCTCCGGGCCTGTCGGGGGGCCGCCGTCTCCCCCACATTCCAGCGGGCCGGCAAACAGACGGTGGCAGCGCCCGGTCCGCACGGCGCCGGGCCGATAAGGGCGCGGCCATTCGTCAGCGAGACGTGGCGTGGCAGCGGGTCAGCCAGATAGGACGCGGCAGCGGGTCAGCAAGCCGGGGCGCGGCAGCGGGTCAGCCGGACGGGCACTGCACACCGACCGCTCTAGCATGTGCCCGTGAGCCATCATCGTTCAGCATAAGGCCGACCCCCGAAAGGGTGTTTTAGAGACACTGGCTGCTTATGATAAATGACACGCTGATTATGTGTATTCCCGGGTTGACTGCACAGGTGTGGATCCGGGCAGGGGCAAATTAAGTCACAATCAGCGCGAAGGAAAACAGGTGGCCGACAGCGGCGTAGCAGCAGGGGCGCTGAGTTGACCCAGGCCGCTATAACACTCGGGTTATCTCGGATGAGGCCCCAGCGACAACAACGTCAGACTTCGGTCCAGTCCCACATCAGTTGCAGGGGCATAGCATAGCTCCCACATGTGGCATCAGCACCAGATGGCCCCATCCACAGCAGACGTACGCCCTCCTGTCTGGCCTCCGCCCGACCCCGTTCACAGGCGGGTCCGACCTCGCCGGCGGGCGGACCTCTCCCGAGCGGTGGGAGACGGCCGGCGGCCGGGTCACCTCCCTTCACCCCGTTCCCACCGAAAGTGGCGCAGACAGGTGGTGCGCCGACAGCATGACACAGTGCCTCACAGCGCGAGCGGCCGGCGACAACACACACATGGCGGCGCCTCTTCGGCGCGCGGCGGCCACCCAGCCCGCTCGGCCCGCATCGGCCTTACAGTGCGCGCGCGGAAGGGCTCGGCAGAAGACGGCGCAGGAGCACCGACGCGGCAGTGATTGGCCGCGTTTTGAGCCGGCACACTGTCGGTCTGTGAGTAATCCGCGGAAGGGGTTCGCCGAAACTGGGCCAGCGCTTGATCTCGGCCAGAATGAATGGGCCGGTACGTCCCAGTTCCGCCGGTCGGGGAACGGCCTCGGGCGCAGGACGCGTACCGCAACGGCCAGCAGCCTCGCGCGCTGGGCGCTTGTGGGACCACCAGCCGCGTGCTGGGAGCGTTCGACAGCCAGCGTGTGATGCTATCGCCAGTCAGACCTCTGCAAGCCCGGTCGCTGCACGCAAGCATTGGGCGCCGCTGGCGAGGGGTGACATTCCAGGCGTTGAGCTGGACATCAATACTGATGACCTGGGCACTGGGTTGACGCAAGACACCAAACATTGGCCGTACAGGGCCTCTTAATGCCGTTCTCAATAGCCGAGTGTGTCCGCGGCCTCGCCACCACAGACCGTGACTGTCCCCGAGATTGTGACCGGGTCCGGGTCCGGGACCGGGTCCGGGACCGGGTCCGGGACTGTGACCGAGACTGTGACCGGGTCCGGGACCGGGACCGGGACCGGGTCCGGGTCCGGGACCGGGCCCAGGACTGTGACCGGGACTGTGAACCAGTGTGTGACCGGGACAGGGTCCGGGACCGGGTCCGGGACTGTGACCGAGACTGTGAACCAGTCTGTGACCGGGACAGGGTCCGGGACTGTGACCGAGACTGTGAACCAGTCTGTGACCGGGACAGGGTTCGGACCGGGACCAGGCGTGGCTCTGGCGCCCGGCCGTGACGCCCGGACGCCGCCCGCGATCCTGATCTCGGCCTAATCCCTGCACCACAGCGCACGACGTCCGGCCGGCCGACCGCAGGGGAATGCCTGAGCCGCGCCGGCGCACCGCGAGCAGGCGGTCCAACGGTGCGCCGGAGCGACGCCACGCTCTCAGAGCGACGTCGCTCTGCGCTCCGTCCGCCGGCCGGCGGCTGACCTCTGCCGACTGCCGCGCTTCGTCTGCGCGCACAATACACCCATTCATCAGCGGCCGGGCAGCTGATGACCCGGTTCGGCGCAGGTCCGGCCGGCGCCGCACGCGCGGGGGTAAACATCGTCACGACGAACGCGGTCAGCGGGCAAACAGAGCGCGCCGCGCGCCGCGCTTGTCAGGTCCGCCGGCGAGATGCGAGGCGGAAGGGCAGGGAGCGCGTAATCTTTATGGCGGCAGGAGGGGCGGCGTCGCGCTCCCCGCAGAGCCAGTCCGTCAGCAGAAGATCGCGCTGTTTCAACAGTCGGGTCAGCTGTCGGTGAGCTTGGCTGTGTACGGAACGCCGCAACAGTAACGTTATAGTTACTTCCTCGTGCGATCATGACGTTCGCGCAAGGCACGCAGAGCGCAGGTCGGTGTATTTTCAATGTTAGTTGTGCTTGAGTCGGCTACACATCTTGAATGGCGCTTTCGCCCGCACCACCGAACCCTGGCACCGAGACCGATGTCATAACAAGCTGCACTGCCCCAGGCCTTCAAAATGATATTTCGCATTCGCCTAACGGTCCTGTGACAGTCCTCACTGACAGACATTTATCACTCATCCTGTTGAGAGCGCGTCAGCCCCAGCAGGCGCCGGTCCGGCGTTTATGCCGGGGACACCACACAAAACCCTGGCACCAGCGCGGGCTGTCCAACACATCTCCGTACACCCCTTGACACGATAAACACGGCCGGCCGCCTCACTTCCTGGTGTCGCGTCCGCCTCTCTCAGGGGATCGGCGATCAGCCGGGTGGTCGCCCCGGTCAGCTGACGACGGGGCACGCCAGCTGACGACAGGTCGCGCCAGCTGACGCGTCCTGTTCCCCGGGGGCAGGTCACGCGGCCGAGATCAAAGCGCCGCCAGGCGGGCGGGGGGTCGTTCTCAGACACCCCCCACGCCGCGCCCGGTACGCCTCGTCGCTCTCGCAGCTGCGGGCCGTCAGCCGGCCGTACAGCCTCCTCAGCGACGGCTGCAACCGACCATGGCACACGCCGGGGGACGGGACATCGCCGGCGGCGGCGCTGACCCGGTGGGAGCTCGTGCCGGTGAGCGGTGAGGACGCCGTCACCGGCCAGCGCCGCGCCGGGGCGCCGCCGCCTCTGAACGTGCCCCTGACGCCCGTCTCCTGTCCCGAGCTCCCAGCAGCTGGGCACGGCTGACACCGGACAGACGGGTCCGCCGGAGTGACCGCTGCGCCCCAGACGCAGCCTCGGCGCCGCCGGGATCGGCCAATTCGCCGACGTAGCGCGGCACCCCCTCCCCCGGCCAGGAGTCCCGTCACGTGTCGTTCTCGATGGAGTGTCCGAGTGCCGAGTCCGAGAGTGAGAGGGCACTCCAGCTCTAACGGGGGGGGGGGGGGGGCGCCCGATCCCGCGCCCGAGACGGACCGCTCAATGACGGTACCACGGAACATGCGTGTGACGGGGACGGCACCGAGGTTGTCCCCCTGCAGCGACCGGCATGTTCCAGGGTGTCCGACCTAACCCACCACCACGGTCCAAATGTTTTGCGAGTGCGGTTTGGCGGGAACGGAGTTGTGGTACGAGTCACTGGTCTAGGGGCTGTGCAGCTGCGATGAATGAAGGCGGGGCCACAGGAAAACCCAAACTCCGTTTCTTCATCATTCCGGGTGTCCTGGGGCCAAAGGTCCCTCGACCACATGCAATTTGAGAAACGTGAAGCCTTGTTTTGAAAACGTTAATCGTTTTGTTCTGCAGTCTTGTGTAGACAAAATACAGTATGTGGGAGTATAGCACACTCTGCCTTCGGCCAAACGAAAGGAACCGTCCGTCCGTTCACAAAATAACATGAATGGATCCTCACGGTTTTTATCAAGGATCACGCCAACGACAAGCGTGACTGGTTTGAACGCAGATATCCATTGACGACCAAACCTTCATCACACACGCTCACCCACTTCGCCACCTGACCAGAGGAGCTCTGAGAACGCTGACAGCCGATCTCGCCGCAGCTGAGTTGACCCGAACGTCCGAAGACGGTCCAAGGTTCGCAGCTGGGTTTGGCCGGCTCGCTCGATAACCGGCGATTTTTTGCTGCACGCCTATGATCTTTCCCAGGGCACTGCGCTCCGCCGTCGCCAGTTATCTGAGCTCGAGCGCTCGACCTCCCGTAAACACACCACCCCCCCACCGACAGCGAGATGTGCCCACCCAAAATCAATCACCTCAAACTTGAGATGGAAATTAATCAGTTTTTGCCGGCAAAAACTGACCCATCATCGAGCTAACAGCGACAAGGCGGCCCTCGGGCAGCTTACTATCAGTTTTTCCTAAGTTACGCGACAAAAGAGAAGCCGTTTTTTGGCCAATCTCCTTCGAAAGTACGGCGAGCTTCTCATGAATGTGCCAGTCACGTGGGCTGGAGTCGAAGGGTTCGGTCACCGGCCAGCTATGGCAGCACCGTGTCGCATTTAATGGCTATTCTCAAGACGCAATACCGGACGCACCCAATGATTCGAAAAGGTGCTAAATCGTAATATGTCGCCTAAAAGACAGGAGAAAGGCGCCACGGTTATGTTTATCTCCAGCAAGCGACCACCGACGGCGACACAGCTCCGGTGAGACCCACGAGCCGCTGCTTCACACGACACAAGCGCTTCACCGGGCCCGCGGGCTCGGCCTTGGCCACGAGCCTTTATTGTAGCTGTGTCATTTCGCCCAGCAATTACGCGGCCGGGAGGCGCGGTCGAGTTGCGCCAAACACATTCCAACGCAGCTCCAGCCGTTCAGCGGCCCTCCGCGGTGGCCACTCGACGACGCGACCGTAATCGGCCGGCAATCGACTGGAAGGCGGAGACGGCGCCCGCTTCCGGCGCCGGTCCGGTGCCGGCTGCCGCTCCAGCGCCGACCGCCTGTCACGTAATGGTGATCATCACGCTTGCCACTTTATTAGGAAACGACAGGTGATCTCAGTCATCCGCCGGGCGGCGGTGTCATCGCCATAAAGAGAACTCGCGCCACGTCCTCATGGCGCACTTGTCCTTCACAGTGGCGTAACGTCCCCACGGTGGCTCGCCAATTACGTCGGCGAAGGGGAGTAGAGCGCGGACTGCTGTCCGTGGGTCAGTTGCGTCGCCGAGGCGTCGCTTTGTCCGGTTCGGACGGTTTTTCTGACTGGGAGCTCTCGCCGTCACATCGAGGCTCCATTCGGTCAGGAAGCGCTAAAGGCTTGAAGGGGTTCCAAAGCATGGACCCAATGAGGTTTTCTAAACGCACCCTTCTGCCCTTGACGCGCAGAAAGGAGTGGACAGCGGACACATGCGACTGGAATGCGCGCCGTTTCACCTGCTTTCATCACGGACAGCTGGACGGCGACACCGACACACCTCCCCAGAAAGCACCTGAACTCGTCTGAGGACATCGCGAGCCAGCGCGGGATGGAGAGGACCATTTTTTAGATTTTCCGGTCGGTTGGTCGGCGGAAGCAAAGTTCATGGCCAGCGGGCCAGTGCGGGACAAAGGGCGTCGAGTCCGCCGGCCCAGTCACCGCCGCGGCGACCGTCGGAGCCGGGCCGACCGACCCACATGAAAGAAGCCCGACCGGTCGCGTGGGCGCCGCGATCGTCTTCACGGCGTCACATTCCGCTCCCGTACCTCCGACCGCCGCGCCGCCACGGCCACAGGTGCGTCGGGTTACGCCTCTTATCGGGGCAGCCAATGGTCAGATGTTTAAAGCTTTGAATCATGATCGGAAGGCTGCGGTTCAATTCGCACCACTCGAAGCTTGTTGCCGACCTGCATCCGGTTAGTGGCGACATAAGTGACACCACTGTCAAGCGCATTAGCAAATAGCCCAACACGCAAGTCGCCCCTCCCTAGATGGCGACGACCTGGCGGCAGTGAGCGCCCCCTAGGCATCCCTCCGGCAGAGCTGGATGGGGACGGGCGCGGTCGTGGCCGTCGGGACGGCCCCCGTCCGCCTGGCGGCCCTCCATCCGCCTCCGACCGGTCCCGGCCACCGCCGGATGCGGCAGCCCGTCACCCAGGGGCAGATGACGGCCGATAGACGCGTACGGGGTCTTCACCCGGAGCGTTCACCTCTTCCCCGATCTCCACACAAAGAAGGCGGCCTCCCCACACACGGTGCCACCTCATCGGCCGGGCCCGCGACGCGGTGTTTCACTGGTCTCGTGCTCGTCGTTCGACAGGCATGTCCGGCGGTGTAATTCTAGGGCAACAAATGGCGCACTACTCCTTTCAGCTCGATTGCTACATGACCAGCTCAGTCATGCCACATCAACAGACCAATGGGGTTATGTTCATAATGCACAGAAAAAGTTCGACAGCACACTCAGTCCTTTACATCGCACCCCACCATTACGAGAGCTGCCTGCGGCGGGAGGAGTACGGGCGCTGCAAGTCAGCAGATAATGCCGCACCGGACCGCTGCCCGCCCGGCAGCCGCCTCCGTGTTATCGACTCCGCTCGGAGACAAATGGGGTGCATTTGCCCAGCGGCCCCCGGCTAGCCCGCAGACAGCTACCAATTCCGGGCACAGCGGCGCACGGGTCAATGAGAAGCGAACTCCATGACCGGCACAACCATGAAAAAACGCTCCATCGCTGGCGCCTTCCACCCGCTGGGCGTTCTGTGCGGGCTGGGGTGGAATGCGGGGACTTGTTTGGCTGAGGAGGCTGGCTCGTGTCTCCAGCAGCCACTGTGCCCAGGTCCCTACTGGCATCGTTCCTTACGGGAGCGGGGAGGAGGGGACGTCTCCAGATGTCCTCTGTCTTTTTACAGCCGGCAGGTTCAGGGCCTGCGCGCGAGGTCGTTGACAATGGCAGCGCGGCGCCGGCTTCTCATGACCTTGTCGCGTCGGGCGGACCCCGCCAGCCAGCAGTTAACAGCCAGTTACACCTCCCGTGCCGACCACTTTCACACACGGGGCCTAGAGCGCCGAGCGGCGAGCGGCAAGACCCGGCGGGCCACACACGCCACCTGATGTCCGGCACGGTCACAGGGTCGAGCGGTCCACCACTCCGGCCGCTCCTGGCGTGGAAGATCACTTTTTCTGAATGTCAGGACGGTCCATCGTTCACGGCGATTTCACGTATGATCAGTCCGTAGATCTTTGAGAGAATGCTTCACCGCATAGTTATAAAGCAAGTGTAGGATGGCAGACACTAACTGAGATACTCCGGCCAGAGAAAAACCCAACACATGTGACATTATGTGAACAGAAGTGCCCAGGCTGGTCCATGAAACGATTACGGTGGTCAATGAAACGTAATTGAATGAGCCCACTTCCAACGCAGTTCGAGTGTTCGTTAATTAGTGGAACCGCACTAGTATGTTTTACATTTTGGTGCCCGATTTTCGTCGTCGTTTGGCCTTCAACTGGTCATTTGGGCAGCCATGTACGGAATGTTTCGCCTCCCAGATATTCCTAGCGGGCACAGCACTAAATGCCGCGAACACCCACTAGAAAGGACACCATACACCACGAATTTCACAGCCTACGAAAGGCCGGTTAGGTGAGCTCACTGCGCTCACAAAGGAGGGCGGCCAGGCGCCGGCCCTTTAGCGGCCCATCTCGGGCTTCAAAGAGTGATTCTTCCATACACACCCTTTCCATGGCTAAATTTGACATCGGCTTTTTCAAAGGCGTCTCGTGTGCGACACGGGGTCACACTAGCCTGAAAAATCACCGGATACGAGCTTTGAAAGGCAGTTTATCCGTCTGAGCATGAACGGAATGCCTGCAAAGGGGCTTGGGATGACTTATGTGTGGAAGCATTTCGGCATTCCCCAGCTTCTCGAGAAAGACATTTATGGGACATTCCAAGCAGGTTCGAGGCGTATTTTTTCTGATGAACTCAGAAAATAAGCACGGGTAATGTTGCGCATCAGGCGAGGATAAACTCGAATCAAATATCTAGACCAAACATTTCTCTTAAAGCGTATGAAAGCACCATGCCAACTGACCCGGTAAAAACTTTTTAGAAAAGCAGAGTAACCTGATTTCGGCGCAATCTATTGCTGGAAATTCACGAGGGACGAAACGCTGCTTACGTGTTACATTACAGCAGATATTTTCCGAACTATCACGCGATATCACGCATTACGTTAGCGCAGGCAAGCTATGTTCACCTGAAGCAGGGCGCAGCGTATCGATATGCTGTCCTCATACGGATCTACAACAAAATCGATACGCTGGCCTCAGCGTCGGGGTTCATGCTCTTCAGGGACCAATGGGGCGCACAACATCAACCAAGCCCCAGCTTGGCGAATGTCAATATCACAGGATCAGCAACAACGGCATTTCGGACATCGCGCCAAGCCGAATCACGTCGCCGCTGGCCCGGCTGTTGCCATGGTGACGGCCGGCGCGGCGGCGCGGCCGGCCGCCCGGCCGACAACTGCGCAGGCGGCGCCGCCGGGCCCAGGGGCTCCTCCGGGTTAGAAGGGCCGCCAGACAAAGACGACGGCCGCGCCGTATGGGGAGGCCCGGAAACCCCGGCTGACGGAGGGGGGCAGCTGGTGAGCGCCAGGGGGCGGGACCGTGGCAGACCGAGTCCGGCCAGGGGCGGCGCCGAAGGACACCCGTGCCGGAGACAAGCTCCACTGACAAGTGGAGTAATACGGGGGTGACAAGTGGCCGCAGGGCGGCGGCGGTCTGATCGGGTTTCCTGAGACGGACCGCGACATCTGGCACGTGCTCCAGAATCCCCGCTGGCCACGCCCACTTCAGCGCCGGGAGATCATATTCGGAGACCGCTGCGTGGCGCTCAGTCGTTCAGAGGCCGCCGCGCCCGTCTCTGCGGTGTCAGAACTGACCACCGTGTGTGGCGTTGCAGTCTCGTCCCACTGACGTACCCTGTTCCTAGTTTGACTGGCCCAATGCCGCTCGGAAATGCTTATTCACGCAGGACATTTGGGCGCACCCGAATGGCCTACGTTACACGTGAGGACCTTGTGTTGAAGTGGACATGGGTAACCCGCCTGCCATGTGGCGCCCATGCCTGACCTCTGCGTGGGCCAGACTGACCTGTGTTGCACCAGAAGGCTATACGTGACCCTGACCGGGCCTTTCTTGAGGCCGCTGTGGTCAGAACGTGACCCGGACTGACCTGTACTGCACATGACGATGAAGGTCTGTGCCTGTCTCCGCACGTCAGGTACCCTGGAGGGCGGCAGGTACCGCTCGAGAGACAGCCGATGGAGCAGCGGGTCCAGGAAGTCGTGTGACGTCACAGCGTTGATTTCCCATCGCAGCCGGTGGAGCACCAGTAGTTCCCATTCCTGCAAGAGGTCAGGTCAGGTCACGTCAGCTTACTATGACTATGAGGCAACAGCAATGCCTCTCTGCCACGGGTGATGTCAGCATTAGCAGGAGGCGAGCACATGGGGTGACCGCCGTGCCCAGTCCACCTTCGAGCTGCCGAGACTATCAGCTATAATCTCCCTCGTCCGCCGTATCAGCACCCTTAAAGGAGCGGCATCGCGCCGCTCTAATTACTAATCAAAGCAATATTCAAATTATCGCGCAGACAGCCGGCGCCGCGATGCGAACGATATGCCGGGGTCTGTGTCGCCAGCTGGGGCGGAGCTGATGCGGAATCAACGGCGCCGACACAGCTCTCTCTCTCAGACCGAGTGCTCGGCCGCCAAACCGCCGTTTGCCGCCGTCTTCGGGCCGGGCCGCGGCCGGCGGTGGCGGCGCCGCCAGGCCGCCGACACAGGCGGCTCCGGTCAGTCGGGTGCCGGCAGGTCGGGTGGACGGCGGACGGCGGACGGCGGACGGTCGCCTTGGACCCCCTCGGTCGTGCCGTCGCGTGCCGCAGATGAGCACCGGGCGTGACGTAGGAGGGAGGAGCGAGCTCGGCACCGCAGGAGAGAGGCGGCCGTGAGGACCATCCGCCCCTGTTCTGCACATGGCGGCGGATCTTCCGCAAAGCCGCTTTGAATACAGTGCTCCCGCCCGTTCGACAGTCTGCTGCATTCGAAATCAGCTGACTCTCTGACCGATTCCGTGTCGACGCGGAGCTTGTCGGGCCGGTTCGGAGCCGGCCGAGCCGTTCTGGCCGTGGAGCGGTGCCGTCGCGACCCTGGGACGTCCCGCCAAGGTCGCCGGGTCATGGGACGGCGCGCCATTTAAAGGTTGCGACACGGCTGCCGGTGTGGCCGTCAGCTCGCCTGCGGCCACAGACCTCAGCGGCGCGTCAGCGGCAGCCAGAGCGCATTCCCGGCTGCCGGAGCCGCCGAGAAGGGCGCAGGGCCGGGGCTGGCGCCGGCGGCGACGGCGGGCGCCCGTCAGCCGGGCCCCGTCCGGCCGGTCGGCGAACGTGCAGTCCTATCGGCATGACGGTGCGTGGAGCGCCGGCGGCGACAGCGCGCACCTCCGCAGGTATGCAGGAATCCGGCAAGGCGGCGACGCTGCAAGGGAGGCCGTTCGCCGGGCCATCTGGTGCCGGGTCATCATGCTGATCGGCAGGAGAGCCGGCGGCACGCCGAGCGGCGGTGAGAGGCTCAGGTGGGCACACGCCCGGACGGTCGTCCTCATCGGGCCCGGCAGCTGGACCGCGATGGGCGGCCCCGCGCAAAGGGGCACGCCCGAACGTCTTCGTCAACTGACCCCGATGGATAGGCACAACATGCGGCGCCGGCTGGATGGACATGCTCAGATCTTCCTCTGAAGTGACCCCGCAAGATGGGTCACGGCACGCAGCACTGGCTGTCCAGATGGACACGTCCAAACGGACGCACCCCTTGAACTGAGCCCGGGTGACGGATCACAATAGGCAGCGCTGGCTGTGTCGTCCGTCTCTCTTTCGTTTTATTCGGCCCGGCTCCAATAAACGGGTGCCCGCTATTAATCCCATCGGAGGATTGCCGGTCATGAGACGGTCCTGGGAGGGCGTGACGACGTTAATTATGTCCGGCGACGAGCTGGCGGTGACGGCTCGGAGTGGACGGCGTCACACGGTAACGTGACGTCACACGGCGCATACCAACGGGACGGAGGGCGGGCGGCTATCAGGGAACGTGCGACAAACACACCGAGCACCGGAAACACAGCAACACTCAGCGCGACTACCGTGAGGTTCACATTCTTGTCCATAACGACGTAATAATGCGCCCAGAACGACGCCCAGCTTACTGAAGCGAGAGCTCGGCGGTTTTAAGATGACAAAGACTGTCCTCTAATTGCAACTGGGGATCCGGTGGACCTTGCGTGAGCAGTGCACCACGAAAGTCGCTTCACCCCACCACCGGGAACGGAAATTGCCTCCTTCCGGTGGCAGCTCCGGGAAGTACCAAACAGGTGGTGCCGTCCCTTTCAAAGGAACAATGCTTCAAACATTATTCTAACAGAGACGGAGTGGCGCTGGGGGGTTTTCTGTCCGGTCTACGGGCTGTTAATGGCCGACCAGCTGCAGGCCAATGCCATATCGTGGTCACCGCATTACTAGCATAAAAAGACGAGTACGAAACGCTAGGAGGATCACAATTTGATCCACGCATAGGCACCTGCGGCACTAAAATTTCTAAACGACGGGCCAAGCTCCGCCGCGGCGCGCAGAATCGATTACGGAAACCTTGAACAAAGCGTTGAACTCTTTTCTCATTTACGAAGCGGCCCCCCACGGCGCCGCCGGGCACTCTCTTCAGCTGGCGATCGAAAGGCTGGAGCGATTCAGCTCCAGCCCGACATGGTTACGACCGTCCTGCGGCTATTTCGAGACGTCGTCATTTATAATCTAACCTGGGGATGGGGAGTGCCCGGGCCGATTCCGAGAGAGGACAACAGGACAGCGGCTGGAGGGCTGTGAGCCGAAGACCGCCATGCAGAGGGCGACGAGAACAGGCGACACCGTCGGTAACTACAGTGCGCGCGAAGTGAAGAGGTAATGAACTGTTACAGGACGAGACATGTCGACACACCGGACTTGTATCGGACGGCAGCACCCATTACATAAAGAGGAGCCAAAAAAGGCGAAAAACAGACCTCTGACTGACGGATGGTCATTGGCGCATATCACGAGTCATGTACAGAGAAGGATGAAGACAGCGTGTAAGCACAAAGAAATGCGTCAGACGGAAAGATAGAACCTTAAAAAGGCACCGCGACGGAAGACCACGACTATGGGAGAGAGCAGAGGGACACGTAATATATTCTCCGCGACGAGGCAAAAACGCACGGCCATGAACCTGACGGGAGTGATTTAGCTTCCAGAAGAAACTGGTCCTGATCTGATCGCGGTGGGAGCCAGGATCCGCGAACACAGGGTCGTGGCCGGACACCGCGCGCTTTAAACTTTAAACGACCAACGCCTCTTGTGATACCGCACACATTACACTATTTTACTGCACCCTTAAAGCCTGGTGGGAGCTAATTAAACGAGTCCAAAAAAAATAGCGGAAGCCTACGGCGGGCGGATGGGTCACATTCCGAATACCCCACATAGCTCAGCGCACGTTGACAGGGAGGGCGCGTAGAGGTGCATGAGGCATGACATGAAAACGTGACATGCCGTGGCATGGTGGGGCGCAAAAAAAAAATGTTAGCAGGGACGATCAAAGAGCAGGTGTCTTTAAAGGAGGGACTGGGGAGGGCCCCACTCGGTCACCGGGCGTGGGTACAATAGAGATAGAGAAAAATCGTAAACGTTAGGCACAATCGAAACGGCGTGACATTATGTTCACAGCTTTTCCAGAATCGGGAATCACGTCCCCGCCTTTTTTCTCCGGCTTTTCCCTCCAACGGATTGGTGGGCCAGTGCTGAAAACAAGAAGTTTCCACAGACAATCTCGGGTCAGCCTATTGCACAACGATGTAAAATCAGCGTGCCGAGACAGAGGCGTCCGTAAGTAAACAAATCCTCACATCGCACTGGCCTATTTGGAGAGGAAGTGTTTCACCGGGCTTTGGCGGGACCCCTGTCTCAAATGACACGCAGGATGTTTGCGTACGCTCGCGGATATATAGGTAAGACGGGTGGGGAGCCCGCAGCGGAAGCATAAAAACTCCCCCGGCACCAGTCGGGAGAAGGAGGATCGGGCCCGGGCGGGGAGGCCTCCCCTCCTGGCCTTGTGGAGAATGCCACGAAATGTGTCCACACTTCCTGCGCGGCACTCTGCCGACGGCTGCGCCATGTGGCCAACTGGGAGCGCTCCGAAACGAACAGGCTGCCGAACCTCCGGCAATAGATTCCACCTGCTGAGCTGGGACGGCCCGGCGGCTCACCAGGCAGACACCGCTCTACCAGACGGAGTCCGTAACAAGGTTGTCTCACGGAGCGGCCTGCGTCCCTCACGGCGGACGCCGCGTCTCATCAGCAGTCGGCGGTCTCAGCGAGCTCATCAGCGGTGTCGGCCCTGGCGCTGACTCAGACCTCAGACGCCCGTCCATTCATTCGGACTGCAGGCCCGACCGGCGCGCCGTTTATTTACCGTGCAGGGGAGACCGGAGCGCGGTGCAGCGCTGGACCAGCGGCGCTGTCTGGGCGCGACCTCCGCCTCCGGTTCACGGCGTGAGAAGCGGCGCGCGGCGGCTCGCACGGCTCGCGTACGGCCGCCCATTGCAGAGGCGCCGAACGAGTGCGGGCGGGCCGCGTGCTGGGAGATTCCGGCGCTGGATTCCCGACACGGCGACCGCAGCGTAGCGCCGGCACGTACGCGGCGCCGCCGGCCGGTCCCACGGCGGCGCCGGCACGGACGGCACGAGTCGCGCGCCGCGGACGTGGGTCGGCGCACAGCCAGCCAGCGCCGAGACCCAGCCGCCGGCCGCTCCTGTTTCAGGCGCTAGGCTCGGCGGCGCCCGTCTGGCGGCAGCGGAACGGTCGCGCGTGCCTCCGGGGCGGGTCACGTCGGGCCCGGGGCGATTGGCGCCCGTCGACGGGGCGGTGACCTTCCGGAGTCGCCCGTCTCACCGGCCGACGGCAGACCAGAGGGAACGTCAGGAGGGACCCGTGAACGACGGCCGACGACGGATGCTGGGACCGTCGGCTCCACAGGCGACTGTCGGCCACGGGTCGGCAGCGTTGCCCGGAGGCAGGAGTACCCGGCGCACAATGGCGCAGCGGAGAGGGCTCACGCTACCCGAGCGACGCTCCGACCCCCCCCAGACAGGCGCTATGTGCAGGCCACCGAGGACAAGCTTGGCCGCACCGAGCGGCCGAGGAACAAGCCATCCAGTACCGACCCGGCGGTCCGGTACCACACGGACAGTGAGCAATACCCTTTTAACACCTGTCACACCGCACAAGTTAATCGATAGTTAGCCCTCGATGCTCGCAATAAATATGTGGTTGCTAGGCGCTTAAACGGAGCCCTATCAGCGACTCCGCTTTAATTCCGAATACGTCCTTTCCTGAGCAGCATCACGACAACCAAAGGTACTGGCCAGAGTCGGCGCATTTTTGCTAACTGACGCGCCGATGGCGGCCCTTATCGCGACAGTTTACCGAGAAGTGAAAGTGCACCATCCACTGTCAACGGAAAAGTTCAATTTGCCGCTTCTAAAAACGGTGACGGAGTCCCCGAACGAAGCGAGTGTGTCACGACTGGGTCAGCCGTGAGTCATTGTGTCAGGTCGGACTAGTCACTGTGTCAGGTCAGACGTGAATCATTGTCAGGTCAGCCGTGTGTCACCGTCAGGTAGCCGTGAGTCACCGTCAGGTCAGCCGTCACAGCCAGGTCAGCCGCGAGTCACTGTCAGGCAAGCCGTGACTTACTGGATAGCCGCGAGTCTCTGTCAGGTCAGCCGTGAGTCACTGTCAGGTCAGCCGTGAATCACAGTCAGGTCAGACGTGAGTCATGTCTGCTCACATGGCATATACATTACAAACAGCCTGGCCGCGACGGACCAGTGTTTATTGCACGGCGATAGAGCCGCGGTGCCGGCCGACGGCCCGACGGCCGCCCGGCCGCCAACGGCGCACAACTTCATACGGCCACCGGACCGCGGACGTGGTGACCGCAAGGGCGCCAACCGCGCGGCACCCGGAGTGAAGACAGCGGTGCCGCTGTGTGATGTGTCTGTGTGTGTGTGTGTGTGTATGTGTGTTTGTCTGTGGGCGTGGGTGTGTGGGTGTAGGTGTGGAAATGTGCAGCTTCTGCCAGTTGGGCTCTCAGCTGAGAGACGTGCGGGGAGAGCATCTCTTGGTACCAAGTTACAATGATTCGTGGAGATTCAGCGGCCCATGAGCAAACGACGGAATATGTGTGGTTCACTTGCATCAACGAGTAAGCCGATAAGTGTTTGCGTTGCGCCTTCTGATGTCCGACCGACCACAATGCCGTTCGGCTCGTCAATAATGCGAGCGCCGACGCGGGGTTCCCCGAAAGGTCAGACGCAGCTCTGTACAGGTCGCTGCGGCTGGGCGTGGGCGCCTGTCGCGCCATGGGCGGTATCACCACAGCCACCGCAGGACAGGCCGCGCCGTGCCGCCGCCTGCAGTGTGCAACTCAACACGCCCCCGCGCGTCGCCGTTTGGCGCCAAAGGCGCAACGGTCGGCCAGTCGGCGCCAAACATGCCCGCGCTCAGCTGAACCGCCGCAGCGGCAGGGCAGATCCGGCTGGCGCGCGAGAGACGGTCCCAACGACCTCGCCGTCTTCTTCTTTGGATTTTGTGTCTATCGCTGGGTAAGCCACCACAAGCAACCACCGTTGCGCAGGCGATACGTATTTTATGGTAGAGGGAGCGCTGCGTAGATTGTCACGCATCCCTTCTCGGAGCGCGAGTGACCATGGTGGTCAAATCCCCTCCAGGGGCCATCGCGCGCCGCTTGCGATTCTAGCCCCGGCTGCTCACGTGACAGTCTGAGATCCCGGCCATTCGGCAAGCACGTCCACCGGTCACTAATGCATGCAACGCATCCGCCAAACGGAGAGGGTACTCACAATGATGTCTGGAACTGTGATGCTGTTGTCCGCGCACTGCACAAGGACCTCGGCCGGCAGAGGGCGCGTCTCTCGCAGTTTGGAGCTCACAAACAGACAGACTGCGCCCAGCAGTTGCAAGTGGTCCTTTTTTACGTTCGTCACACTGAGGAATCTGTCCAACAAGTTCATGGACAGCGGGAACACATCGTCTTGACAGCGCTGCTCCTCGCACACCTGTCGACGACGAAACACGCTATGACACCGACGCCATACTGACGTAAACAGCACACGAGAACAGGTGACAACAATTCTGACGTCACCTGAAGCTTGCTGTGTCGCGGTGTCTTTGAATAAAGCCGGCTGCACAGACTTGTGCTACGGAGTGTCGCAACTAAACAGTCGAATGCGTACATAATAATTGGAGACCGAGACTGCGGTAGTGTGCAGTTCATCTGAAGGTTAATAGTGGACATGATGAATAAGATGCCGCTGTGGCCTTCAGGACCGTTTGGCTTGTCTGGCTAGGCATCGCAATTTCCTGGCCCCGCAAAGGTGTGAGTGATTAAGTTGCTACCACAGTTACGCGATTCACTATTTGTGGAAAGCTCTTCCCATTCACGAAGGCCGGGCGGTGTATAATGTGGAAAAATTATATCCATACGCATGCCAAATATGCCTTAAAAGGCGTGCCAGGATGCGAAAATAAAAGCATGGCATATGCAACAACAAAAAATCCAGAGCAATGTAACATGTCACCTGCTAAACGACGAACGATTGGTTGCAAAGATGCAATTCGAAATCGGCTACTTGGCACCTTCGAATAAAAGTAGACGCAATGGAAGGAAGACAAGATTGCATACGCAGCTTTTCTACCTCGTGCACAAACAGGTCTGAACGAAGAAACACGCCGGTTATGCTCAGCAAGCCACTCACCTCCACCATCCAGTACGCCAGGATCCTCCGCATTGGCAGCTTCACCTCGTTCTGCACGCACTTGAAGTAGGAACAGGACGGCAGGTAGCGACTCTCCGTGTCCAGCAAGTTGGTCAGAACTCGCCTGTCGTTGACCAGGGCCGGGTCACGGATGGCCTTGCAGACCGGCTCCGCCCCAAACACTCCCGTCTCGCAGCAGAGCAAGCTGTCGCCCAAGTCACACGACATTCTGCAGCGGGCTCTGAGACGGCGAAGGCGAGCCCGATCAGCCGCGCCCAACGCCAGCAGCCTAGAGTCTCGATTCGAGTCGTTTCGAGTCGATGGTCGGCAGCGGCCCCAGCTGCACCTCCCCTCCCGAGCACCTAGCCCGGAATGACAACAGAGCGGGCGGCGGGCGGCGGGCGGCGGCGGCGGCGCCCCGCAACAGCTGATCGCCCCCTCCCCCTTCCCGCACCCAGTCTGCACTGCCGGCCGTCAGCCAATCAGCTGCCCAGGCGGTGTCGCCGGGCGGATGGTCGCCTTCGCGGCGGGCGCGGCGGCCCGCCGACGGGCGAGGAGGACTGGGCGGGGGGAGGGGGGAGAGGCGAACGGGACAGGGCGGTACAGCGCCAACTGCCTGCCGAGAACAACACCTGATTGCCGATGTCTGGGAGATGGCGAGTGCGCAGAGATCGCGCCGGCTTGAACCAGCTCGCGCCGCGTCGTGCAGACACGTGAAGGTCATCTAAGGTCACGCGGTGCTGCAGTGGCGACGGCGCTGGCAGGCGCTTGTGGCCGCGCGGAAGCGCTAATCTCCCCACTGCCGGTGGCAGCGCCGTTACAGACCACGAGAACACATTGTGTTCTGTCCGCCGCTGCATTCTGCTCAATGTGGTAAACGGAGCGTTTTTTTTTAGCACGTTAGATGTCGCATTGCTAATGCTATTGTGATCGGACAAGGCAACTTCCCACGGCGTTTGTTTGTCGCAGTCAAACAGCTGTTTTTTTTTATTTTTGCTCCAGGCGACCATTCTGCCTACGAAAAGTTCGTAGAAAAAATAACATGGCTTAGCAGGGGGGCGATACGAATTCTGCGACGTGTAATAGCCCACATTATCCGCGCTGTTAGGCGCCAGTGCAATTTTAGTTTAGGGCACAGACAGCAACGTGCGACCATCTTGACAAGATCGTAATGGACTAAGCACAATTCCAGACTGGCCGATGCAGTCCCCTCTCTTCCCCTCCCTCCCTCCCTCCCTCCCTCCCTCCCTCCCCGAAGCAATATTTATCAACATCTTGGTGCACCGGGTTTGCTCCAGGACCTTAAGGGAACGGGAAGCCTCCATAACCTTAACAGCTGGATGTGGCGGGCCTGCGTTGGACCCCGTTTCTGTTAGACCGCGATACTGCAGAGCCGAGGTTCTCCGTGAACCAGCATGATCCCCCTCGCCAGCAGCGTTCCAAGCTCCCCTGAACGTCTCTGAGTCGCCATCTGACCTTCTCAGGCCGGAAGGCTCGGGCCAGTGTCGTGTCGCAGGGATCGGAAACCAGTGTCGCAGCGATCCACAAGCGTGGCCAAGGGGTCCTACTCCGCGAGATAAGCGCCCTTCTCTAGGCATCGGATAGTTTCGCAGGAAAACCGCTGGCATATCAAACGAGTTTGATATTTGATCCCTCCATAAGAAAATAAGCGACACGTGCCTCCAGGAATTCGTCTGCGTGGACGCCATCTCTCACCACTGCAGACATGCCCCTGGCTCCCAGCATTGGTCCTGGTTCCCACTGGTTCCTTCCACTTAACGGAACCCTGGATCTGAGTTCCCACTGACTCTTTCAACAAAGCAAAATCCTGAAAGATGGCTTCTAAAGGCGCGTTAGGTAAAGAAAATCTGTGGATCCTGGTTTCCACCGGATCTTTCGACCAAACAAAATCATGGATCCCGCTTGCATCGGTTCTCGAAACTCACAAGGGTAACCGACATATTTTTGGTATCATCAACAATCAGCAAATAAACAATGTTGACTGAAGGGTGTCGAAGGGGTGAAATGTTGGCCAGGCGTTGACTGAAAAGAAAAAGCAACAATGGATATGGTCCTCCCTCCCCCTCCCCTCCCCCCCACCCCAAAGCCGGGAGAACCTCAATTGCCCCTGCTGTCTGATGTCAGCAAATAGTGAAAAATTCTGAACAAGCTGTCTGTTTTGTGCTTATGTCCTTCTCGATTGTTAGACTCGCAAGTTCCTATCAAATAGTGCCCTTCTTGTTGCTAATAAATCAAGGTGAATCCGTCTGCACATTTAGAGATAGATACTTGACTGCGTTAGAAATCAAATCCGTACACGAGATGAAATATATCTCAAAAATAAGATACCGGCAGGCCCAGGGCGGTGCCGCCACTATGGATTGGTCAGTTGATCATTTGTCTTCCATTTACTGTCCACGTGGCGACAGTCTCGGAGCAAATGTAAACAAACTGTCAGGTGGCAAGGTCAACTGACAACGCTGCAGCAATGGTGAGCTGATTTACTTTGGAAATGATCGTATTTGATCTAATATTGATAAGGTCTAGTTATGACCTTATGACTTATAAGGCTTTTTCATATCAATATGATTATACATTTACTAGTTTTCAGATAAAAAATGGTTGTGCGAAAAACGTTAGCTGGCTAAGGTCATCCAATGGGGTTTTTGTTGTTGGTGCGTCTCGGCGCTGCGCAGTGTGCTTCTATAACTTAGGGCAAAACGGATGCATGACGGAATAAATGAATGAATAAGAAGTTGGGTCAAATACAGGCGTTTTTATGCGTACTTGTGTACTTTCTAGTCTTTTTGCTAAGATAGAGTCATGGAAGCTTGCGGTCACCTGTGTTTGAAGCGGCTGAACAATATTCGGGTTGGAAAGGAGCAAAAGTCGCCGGTAAGAAAGAGAACTTGCTGGTAGGCCCATTGTGTTGCAAAGAAAGGATGATTTCAAACAATCCGGAGTTATTGCGGTGGAGTAACAATTTTCCATGTCTGCAGACATTCGACTAACGAGCCTTGGAGGAAAGCCTACGTTGTGAGTGCTAAAAAGTGGGTGTTGGAACCGTAGATACAAGACCACATGCATGCAGGAAATGACCAAATTCACATGATTGCATTCCCCATGTTCTATTCTGCAAGGTGTGGCGAACCTTGCCAAGATCTCATAGCGGCAAGGTTGCAGCAAACAACTGAAATTTGGAACAGCTTTTTGAATTGGGGGATATGCATCGTTTTCATTCAGTCATTTACTGAGAATAGCACCAGGGTTATAGTGTCATGTTGTTGATTGATCCCAGCCTTCCCAGCTCTAGGAAAAAGTAGGCGAAATTTGAGTAAACATGCATTTATTGTCACATTTTAGAAGAAAGTTTAGCGATTTTTCTCCTCGTCTCCAAAAATTATTTTGAAAAACTGACACCAGGAAACACCTTGCTAAGCTTAGAAAACCAAGGCTGACAGGAATCTCAGGCAAGATTCTGGCTCTTGCTGCTTGCTTTGACATCTCTCCAGACTAGATATTGGGTCTTACTGGATCTAAATTCAATTCTGAGCTGTATCTTGACGCTTGCTGGATTTCCAAAAATTCCAGACTGGGTCTTGGTTCTTGCTAAATTTTTTGACATAATGCCAGGCTGCCATAAATGACATAACGCCAATGCCAGACATATTGGTGCTCGCTAGTTCTCGTGACCTAGAACTAGGCTGGATCATCGTTCTTGCTGGACCTTTCGGGCTGCTATCAGATTGGATTTTGGTTCTTGCTGGATATTTCGGATTAATGTGAAGCTGGATCCTGGTTCTTGCTGGATTTTTCGCTCTGATATCAGGCTGGATACTGGTTCCAGCTGGTTTTCTCCGCCTAGGTCTAGAATGGTTTCTGGATCTTCCTGGTTTCGGAACTAGGACCAAGGAGCCGGTGCACAAAAATAAATCTTGGGAACCAGTGACATGTCTGCTCACCAGGACCCAGTCTAAGTAATTTTTGATGCGCCAGTGATTTCCCAGGACAACTTGGAGTAACGAATGTTTGGCAAAAAATAAAAGATGGTCGGGAACTGAGCTATCCGGAAATGCGAACTTAATTGGTGAGCTAGCTGGTGTAATTCAGACGCTGTTCCGTGTCAAGAATTTTACGGATGGCCACGTTGACGTGGGGAACTCCTAACCTCAGGGGAACGATGACCTAAAAGGGGGTGTTCCATGTTTACATGGGGGTTTGACATGAAATAGCCATCTTGAATAATACTTGGTGCAGTTCACAGCCCTGGGCTTCTTAAGACCCAAATCCTTTTTCTGAGCTACATACCCGCGAAGATGTGCAAACTTTTCGTTGAGACCATTTCAAGGTCACCCAGGCATTCATGCCGTCATAATAACGTCATTGAAATCCTGTCATTTCATTAGCCATGCGGCTATCAAGGCAAAGGGAAATAATTGTATAGGTTATATCTGGCGTTCGTGAGTACGATTCCCAGACATAATGGCCGTCGATTGGCTCTCAACCTATGTTGTTTAAGGTATAGTAACTTAACCAAACGACAACGTGTTGAGGAGCATATTTACTAAACAGAGGAATTTAGTTGTTTAGAGCAGCCTTCTTCACTTAATAGTAAACCGATAGTTATAAGTGAGCGTATGCTTGCTTCAACATTTGCAAAGGCGGGATATTCCCTTTCACCGTAAATCGACCTGCCTATTGCTGTTTGTCATCTGGCCAGCAATACAATAAGTACAACCAGTATCAGAGTGCGAACACAGACTAGATTTACACGTACTTGAGTTCACATGATAACTTTTCAGTCAGTATACATATGCCGGCATGCATTTTGCAAACAAAAATTGGTCATGCAAAGCCCAAAGATAGCAGGTTGTTTAAGCCTACTGCCTTTAGGAAAATTTGGGATGCTGTTGTTAAAAAGATTTAGCGAACAAATAAGTTCATTGTGGAATTTCTATAGAGGCGATAAAAAATTGGTCAAAAACAGCAGGTTTTCGGTCCATTGGGGCACCGGTATTTGAAATGTCATTATTTTTGGAAGCTTTCGTCAGCTATAGCGCGATGTATTAAAGCGCTGACCTAATCAAAGTATAGGTACGTGGCATTCAAAAACGTCCACGTTGATACCAAGGCTTTGTTAAATGAACTTGGAGCAAAGAGCAAGCTTTCCACAAGAATAACGATCTGTAGAATGAGAACTCACCTGAAATAAAGATCTTCATACGCGCATATTAAGCTTAACAACGGGTGACTTAAATCCGTTCAAACTCTGCAGTGACACCTGTACTAAGCTCCCCCTGCCGCATGGGATCTTGCGTCCGCCCTTGCGTGGGGCGGCGAGGGCGACCCTGGTCAGGC